TCAGCTGAGAGAAGGAAAAAAATCCTGGGACAATCAGCTGAGAGAGGATAAAGAAGAGAAAAGCACAGGATCAGCCCTCCTGCCTTCCCTGGCGCTTCTCTCTTCTTTATCCTCTCAACTGATTGGCACTGCAGATCTCAGCTAGTATGGGGAAACCTGTGTGCTGGCATTAGGCAAAGCGTGCCCACAAAGCCAAGACAACTAAGCCACAACCACCGAACCGGTGGTAAAACAATTTGAATCCCACCACTGTTTCTGATGCTTTGTTTCTTGCAAATTTTGGTCAACGTTTGAATGTTGTGAATTTTGCTCTATTTTATGACCTCTCTTGCCACCGTTGTTAAAGGAATCACTGCAGTTCTTAAGTTAGTCACACATTTGTTAAGTGATTCTGGCTTCTCCACTGCTTTTCAGAAGGTAATCACATAATTCTGGCACAATGCAACCGTCATAAATATAAGTCAGTTGCCAGGCCATGGCAGTGCAGTGGTTAGAATGAAGTACTGCAGGCTACTTCTGCCGACTGCCAGCAATTCGGCAGTTTGATTCTCACTAGGCTCAAGGTTGACTCATCCTTCCATCCTCCCAAGGTCGGTAAAATGAGGACTCAGATTGTTGGGGGCAAGAGGCTGACTCTTTAAACCACTAAAACAGGGCTTTAAAGCACTGTGAAGCAGTATATAAGTCCCAGTACTTTTTCTATTGCTATCTGAATTTTGATGACATGACCATGGAGAGGCTGCAATGGCCATAAGTGTGAAAAAAGGTCTTAAGTCACTTTTTTTTTATTTAGTGAATGGTCACTAGATGAAGTCAAGGACTACCTGTGCTCCTTTTTGTCAAAACGCCAGCCAAGAAAGATGAAGTTATTCCAGTAACCAGGATGCTTGTGACTGCCTCTTTGACAATGGTTACTGAAAGCAAGGGTCTACAACCTGTGGGTTGCAGCCCACTACTAGTATGTGGCCTATTGGCTACCAGGCCATGGGAGTAGCTGGACACGCCACTCTTGTGGGCATTCATGGCCCCACTCATCCCTGCCCCTCTCCCACAAAACCATCCCCTATTTCCTCCCTTCCCCCTCCTGGGCTGCCAACCCGGAAAGGTCGGACAACTCTGACCAAAAGAACACACAGAAAGGAAGAATGTCAGAAATGTTGCAGTATATGGACTAAAACAGGTTCCCAAGCTCCGGGCCCCACCGTGGGTGAATAAAACTGTATGCAGGGCATCTAGGTTGCACATTCCTCCTCCTGCCCCAGTCTGTGGAAAAATTGTCTTCCTGTCTCTAGTGCCAGAAAAGTTGGGGATTGCTGGGTTAAAAGACCTTCAAGGTCCTTTCCAGCCCATGATTTTATCCCCTTCTCTGTTTGCAGTTCTTTAATCAGGGCCATTATAACCCGGTGTGTAAACTGGGTATCTGTTCTGAGTTAGGCTTCCCAAAACCACGAAGCAGACTCCTCGTTCTGACAGGACCCCTTTTTATTTTATAATTCCTCTCATTCATATCCAGCAAAGTCCTGGCAAACAGTCTTTCAAGAGACTTTACAACTGCAGACTGCTATCAGGCTTGGAGAGTTGCCAGGCCGATAGCTTCCAAAATGCCAGCAGAAAATTCTTGGGAAGGAGTCATGAGCAAATCTTCCCCCTCATTAAATGAACTAATTGTCTCCTGCAAACCCCACTCCCCTTTTGTTCCTCTTTATTCCCTATGGGAGGGGCCATTCACCATCCACCTGTGCCTTTACTACCAAGTCAACCCTTGTTCCTTAACTGTTCCCTTCTCCTGGCAGTTCTGTGCATGCACAAATCAAGAACAGGCTCCAGCTGTTCTTCTGCCTCACTGATCTCCGACTCCGAAGGCAGCTGATAACTGTTAGACGTCCCTGACCCTATCTCTGCCTCTGACACAGAGCATTCATCAGAGCCTTCCCCAGACTCCAGGACTGGCCCATGTTCCTCCCCAACCTCCTCACTGTCCGAGTCTGCCAACAGCTCTGCTGGCCACTGGCGGGCCACAATAATATCATACAAGTGTGCTGCATGGGGACTGGGGAACAACAGTTGTAATTTAAAAAAAACAGGAGTATAATATCAATAGCAGAAGATTGGGATTTTGCACATACACGCTTAGAGAATTGTGACAGAAGCTATACCTGCAACCTTTATATAAATAAAATAATTTTTAAAAGCCTGTTTGGGAGGACACTACATGGAATTCTGCAGAAGGATGCCTTGTATGTCAGCAACAGTCTTGGTATTAATGGAAATTGTATAGTATATTTTGTCAAGGTCATGCTATCCTTATTGTGGGCTCACCATAAACCTGTATTTCATTGATTTTTGAATAAGCCACAGTTCATGCATGCCATACTCTGCCATAAACCACAATTGACAAACTATAGTGTCTATAAAAATCCAGTAAATTAGAATATGTGTACTCCATGTAGAGTGCTTTTAACTTGGAGGAAAAAGGTTTTTTTTAATGTTTTATCTCCCTCTAGTGATGCAATTCCTCTTTTTCAAGGATGCATAAACAGCTATCAGACTCATATAATATCCGAGTGTATCCTTACTACTGAAATATGATTCTGTTTTCATTCCAGGAAGTTCTCTGTTTAAAAATTAAAGAACATGTGTGATTCAAGGGGCTTAAATCCTGCCTTCAGGATGGCCATTGAATTCAGTATAACAGTAATTCTCTGCCATGAATAAATAAAGTTTGACCTTACAATAAAATAATATCTTATTTTACAAGAGTGCCATCTAGTGGACCTAGAGGGAGCCAACGTAATTTCCAAGGCTTTAGCTAACTGTGTTACTAGGGGAAAAAAGGGTAAATTGATTGAGCGATTGAATGATTAGTTGATTGGTTGATTGGTTGGTTGGTCAATTGATTGATTGGTTTTTCCTGAGGTCACCTGATTTAGCGACACCAATTGTAATTTTCATGATAGAAAATTGGCTGATCTTCCAATCTCACAAATTGATATCAGAAGAATTTAGAGTTAGGGTTAGGGTTAGAAAAGAAATTTACTCCATTTATGGAAAGAGAGTTGGACTTTTTCTTTAAAGAGAATAAAAAAGAAGAAACTTCATTATAAAATGTATGGGATATAGCAAAGGCATATATCAGAAGACCCACCATAACATATGTGGGAAAGAGAAATAAAAAGAAGAGACAAGTTCAAAAGAAATTAGAAAAGGAATATAAAAGGTTAGAGATGGAATTACAAAAAGACCCACAAAAAAAGAACATAAAAAAATCAAATGGGCTTAAAGAAACATAAGTTGAATTTAATAGATAAAGAAGTACTAACACAAAAAATTAACAGATCTAAACATATTTTTTTTAAATGCAAACAAGCCAGGAAGATGGTTGGCATATAGACTGAAAAAAGAAGAAAAGAAACTGATTTACCAACTAATAGATGATGGTTGATTGAGTGATTGAATGATTAGTTGATCAATTGATTGATTGGTTGATTGATTGATTGATTTTTTTCCTGGGTTCACCTGATTTAGCGACACCAATTTTAATTTTCAAGGTAGAAAATTGGCTGGTCTTCCAATCTCTCAAAGTGATATCAGAATAATTTAGGAATTGATTAGGAATCTTTTTGGAAATACAGAGGTATAGACTACGCTGGAAGCAAAAGAAGTCAACTAGAAAAAGAGAACAGTAAACCACCTCTGAACTGTTGTGGTAACTCTGTATAGAGGTGAAAGTAGTCCTTGACTTACGACAAAAAACTTACCGGCCATTTGAAGTCACTAAGGATCCCGCCCCCCAAAAAGGTACTTACAATCTGAATTTGAAGTTCTGGTGGTCACTGCCACCCTCAGCCCCCAAACCACATGACTGCATTCTGGGCATTTGGCAGCTGGCCTGAAGGCGAGTCAAAAAGAGGGCTGTGAAAATATTTACAGACCCCTCACATCCCAGACATAAACTGTTTCAACTCCTACCCTCAAAACGACGCTATAGAGCACTGCACACCAGAACAACTAGACACAAGAACAGTTTTTCCCCGAATGCCATCTCTCTGCTAAATAAATAATTCTCTCAACACTGTCCAACTTTTTACAAAGTCTGCACTACTATTACTATTAATCTCATCACTCCTTATCACCCATCCCCTCCCACTTGTGACTGTATGACTGTAACTTTGTCGCTTGTATCCTTATGGTTTATATTGACTGTTTCCTAGTATGATTTGATTGCTTATTGTACCCTATGACTATTATTAAGTGTTGCACCTTATGATTCTTGACCCTTGACTAATGTATCTTTTATTTTATGTACACTGAGAGCATTTGTACCAAGACAAATTCCTTGTGTGTCCAATCACACTTGGCCAACAAAGAATTCTATTCTATTCTATTCTATTCTATTCTATTCTATTCTATTCTATTCTATTCTATTCTATTCTATTCTATTCT